TCGAAAGCTTGAGGGTTTAGGTTATAAGGGTGTATTTTTGCAATACTTTGTCTTCTAGCCAAAGAAATTAAACGATATCTTCTCCTAACAGTTAAGGCAATTAACTATGAATACTATACATTCCACAGATTTGGGCTTCTTCAACAACATCGAGGTACAATTTGGGCTACACACAGTCAGACTGATGAAGGACTGGATACGGTGTACGAAACGAGTAGCACACGAAACCAATAGACGGAGCTTCTTGATCAAATGCAGGAAAAATGACATCTCACCATCTCACGTCACCCATAGACTAACATCGATTAATCATATTATACACAATCATTTGGCAGAAGATGGGATTAACACACCGATTGAAAGCTTAGGAGATAAGATATTAACACTTGAGATTTCCTGCTGTCACAAACACTTAAAAAACCTCAACTCCTCTCTAAAATCATTAAAACATAATATAATTTCTCCTACAAATCTTCAAATTTTCAATAATATTCGCAAGTTTGACAAATTGCTGGATGATTCTATAAGAATTTTGCTTAACACTCAACCAAACTGGGTAAAAAACCTTAGTAACATCGACGTTCCCAACAACATTTCCAAATTTCTTTCACTAGGTCCAAAATTCAGTGTTGAACCTATCGCTGGCAAGGACATCCCAATCAAATCCATTCTAGCTGATGTGGAGATTATTGCCTCCTCCATTAATGACGAAACAAATAGGAACATTTTCACAACTCGTTCCACGAATATCATTACAAACTTTTACCACAACAATAACACAAAAAAGAGAAATTCCTTCTATCACAACTTATTGAATAAAACTAAAAAATTCCTCAATGAACACCCCGAATTAATGGTTACACAATCTGACAAAGGAAATGTCACGGTTATAATGTTCATACAACAGTATTTTCATCTATGCAACAACTTAAATGATAATGATCCTATAAATTAATGAATAGAGACCCCACATCAAGAGTGGAAAAAGGTTGTAATGACATTGTTAGCGAGCTTTTCAACACTGTACAAATAAACCAAGACCAGAAAAAATCACTAACCACATACAACTCAGTCTCACCTAAATTTTATGCCCTGCCTAAAATACATAAACCAACACTGTCAGTAAGAGCTATACTAGCATCAATCGGATCGACCACGCAGGCTTTATCCTCGTTAGTTTCTGATATACTCAAGTCAGCCCACATTAAAGGTGAATACTACATCAAAGACTCTTTTGATGTATCCCGACAATTTAACAGGTTGCAAATACCACCGGGACATGTGATCGCAAGTCTAGACGTGGTATCACTCTTCAGTAACGTGTACTTAGAAGCTTGTATCAGATCTATTCACAAACATTGGGATATAATAGGTCAGCACTGTAATCGAACTCTGGAATCATTGATCACCATCTTAGAATATCTTTTTGACAACAATTATTTCACTTTTAACAATAAAAACTATTCACAAACACATGGTTGCCCAATGGGATCAGTGGTATCACCAATTTTAGCAGACTGTGTAATGGATGACCTGCTTGATATTGTCATTCAGGTATTTCCTTAGAATCTGTTCTTCATCAAAAAATACGTAGTTGACATAATTGTTTGCCTACCGTTTGAAGGTTTGGACGATATTGTAGATGTTTTTAATAGCTATGACACCTACAATCAATTCACCATAGAAAAAGAAGATGAAAATCAATCTGTTCCTTCCTGGACTCAAAAATCATCCGAAATAATAACACCTTAATGGTAGACTGGTACATTAAGCCTATGGCATCAGGCAGATTCCTGAATTTCAGATCCTACCACAAACTTAAGATAAAGATAAATGTTCATGTTCATGTGTTGAATCACTTGAGAAAACCGCTGTTATGTTCACACAAGTTTGTCGTGAATATAAAGGATATGACGCCCAACATTTTAATGGTGGAACCATGGATTTGTAGCTATGAGAACTTCCAGTTCTTTAAACTTTTCCGTATGTCAAAGAAAACATTTATTGAATTAGCAGAAAAGATAGGAAAAAGCGACGAAAAAAAGATATTAGCAAAGCCATATACAGGTGGTCACTATCCAGTGAGTTTATATGGACATATTTTAATATTCTTGTGGTATATGGCTACACAGGATACTTTGTTAAGCATAGGAACTAGATTTAAAGTGTCCCCAACAACAGTGATGAGTATAACAAATAAGGTGCTCTACTTCATGCTAAAACTAAAATCAGCCTACATTAAGTTTCCCAAAAATGAAGCTGAAATGAGAGACATTAGTGAAGGTTTCAAGAAGTATCCAGGTAAGTAAACATTTCTGAATACTGCAAACCTAGGGTGATACCGCCCCCTGCATTTCACACAATTACTCCCCTATTGTTACTCTATATTTCCCCCAGAAACCGGTCAATATTTCCTTGGCGGTTTCCCCCTCATGTAAGGCCTAGTCATTAATGTTTTAGAGACAAATAGGTATGTAGTACAATTACGGTATATTATATTCAAACTTTTTTGGTTGGTCCTAATTGATGCCATCACAACCTGTCCTGTAATAGTATTTATTGGAATATACATATGTATTTAGTTAATAAGTTACATCTGTTTCCACTTTTCAGTTTATTATTACTTTCAGGTGTTATTGGAGCAGTAGATGGTACCCACATATTTGTAAAGGTTGAAAAAAGTCAACAAGATAGCTACATAGACCGCTATAGAAGACTGGTGAAACAAATGAAAACAAGGGTCACTAGCATTTCTGACAGTACCTTCCATCTTTCAAACTTACGCAAACTCTCAACGCTTTTCACGAATAATGGTTATCAAAATACATGACAAACAAAATCCTGTTCAGCTCTCCCGCTGCTATACCACTTTCACATAACAATGATTACAAAAATCCCAATAACAATGATAATCCTCGTAATGATACAGATATTCCAATTTCCAGAACTAGTTTTGCAATACTACCATACATCAAAGATGTAACACCAAAACTTTCTAGATTTTTCAACACTTTGAATTGTCGCATTGCTCACAAATCCTCACTCACAGCCAACAACGTTTTCTCCAAAATGAAAGATAGAGTTCCTCTGCTTGGCCTATCCAACATTGTCTACTCCATCAATTGCAATAACTGCAATCTCACATACATAGGTCAAACTTCAAGATGCTTTAAAGGTAGAATAAACTCACTTAAAAGTGATGCCAGACTTGCATCCAGAAAGATGTGTTCTAGCTTCACACGTGAATTCCACAGGGCATCAAATGAGATACAATGATATCAAGGTGCTGGACTGAAAAAATCATCTATCAAACCGCCTGTTTTGAAAATGTCACATATCTTTATGACAGACAATTGCATGAACAAAAAAGCGGATGTCAATCAACCTAGCGTCATCTACGCATATTTGCTGAACTGGGAAAAATTGGAAAAGCAACACATCTCCCCAACATCGATTTGTCCCAATAATCGCTACACGAAATAATTTTTCACTATCTTAATAAAATCAAATCAAATTAAAATTGCTCAAAGTTTTTGTCCGCAAGTGTGAATATTCCCTTCGTATTTTTTAGTTATTTGGTAGGATAACATCCAAATCACACTCCTTCCAATGCAACTTCTATCGGGTTTTGAAAATTTCTTCGTACTTCATCTTTCAACAATAGCGCAACCTCTTGCACTATATATTACAAAACGCCATACTATTAGGTAACACACTTCACAGAACCACATAATGGGTGACCTTCCAATAATTTTCAATGTCACACTTCATACGCCGCTGTAGAATGTCAGTCGGCCGGCACGGCACGTGTTGGATAATGTGGAGGTTATCAGTGGAAAAAAAGATGAAATCTCGGGGGAATTTTTAATAGTTGATAGTTTTAAAATCTCCAAATTTCTTCCAAAATCAATCAACGCTTATTTAAAAAAAAACCTTTCAAAATGATTTGCCACTTAGTAATAAAATAATCCCGTCCTAATCGAACCTGATCAGTCCAGTTTTTTATTCGTCGACTATGTCTTCCCTTCACTGTTGTTTTAAAAACAATTTCGGCAACAATCTCGCCGACTTAGTAAGTAGCAATTTCTCTCCTAATTGCTATTTGTTGCTATTGTTAATAATTGTTTCCAGCTCCAGACGATGAAGACATAGATCTTCGAAAGCTTGAGAGTTTAAGTTATAAGAGTGTACTTTTGCAATACTTTGCCTTCTACCCAAAGAAATTAAAGGATATCTTCTCCTAACAGTTAAGACAATTAACTATGAATACTATATATATATATATATATATATTGGAAATTGCTTCTAGAATAAATTAGATCCACTACATGTAACATCACGTGGATATTGCCTGCTGCACCGGCTCACAGTGGTTCAGATGGCACCATTTCCGCGATAATAGTAATAGTATAAATATTATATTTCTCTTTACTTTTTCGGCTAAAATATTTTTTTAAACCTATAAGTACCTATTTGCAACATTTTTTTTTCTTACATCACATCATTTCTCATTTATTTAACTTCAAAACAAAATAATATTTTTTTATCAATTTTATTATAACTTAGGCGTGCCCTATGACGTTACTGTAATCAGAGAAGGCTGTGACTTATTAAGTTCAATATAGATGACATTTGGAAAAACAACTGAATTTGAAATTAATGTTGACAGTCGCTTTGCGCTGTCGTGGCATAGTTTTTAGTAAGTCCGCCCAATTGTTTCAGAAGTTTGACACTAAGGGTTCCGATTAAAAATGCAGGTATTTCCATGTTTTAAAAACAAGTTTAAAATGTGCGTTTGAGTCACCTCAACACATAAAGAAAAAACTAGCTGCAAATATTGCAACTTTTGTAGATGAAACCAACTAAAATGAAAAATATGCTTATTTAACGAGTGGTATTTGAACAGAACGAAAAACTGTTAAAATCTCTCAATTTATATTTTTTACACCAAAAAACGTCAATGTAGAAACATTAGACAAACATATGACGAATTTTATAAAATGTTGAAATTACATGGAAACCTTGTCATAGGGATAGAGTTTTTTATAAAGAAAAATGAGGCTTGGTTGAACCAAGAATTTCCGCCTTCCAAGAAAACCGTTGTTACTTCAGAGCAACAGTCAAGAACTTTTGAAAGGCCAGTGAAGAATCTTCAGAGCCTTGGTGTAAAGGGAAAACAATGGAGGACACTTTTGATAGGTTAGATTTTGATTTGTAAAAATTAATTTTAGACTGTTTCTGCAAAAATTATATTGCATTTAAACCTCATCTTGTGATGCTTTTTTTTAATATATTAATTTCATTCATATTATTTTCCCAAAACGTCCCGGAAGTTCGCTGTCAAAAAAGTTAGGTCAAATAAATATTAATAATTACAGCGCTCGTAGCACCCTCTAGATGCTGCATAAAAATTAAACATTTTTTTTTATAAAGGTGCAGTCAAAAATTATTATAGGAAAGAAAACTGTTCATTTTGACGGGATCTATCACACAGACAGTTTTCTGAGTTCCGAGCATTTGATTTAGGGTCCCCACAACCTGCATTCAAGCATTTTTTTTCGAATTTCTCGAAAACTGCTCACCAAACACTATTTTAATATTAGTGCCTTTTTGCTTAAAAATATGGAGGAAGTTGTTTACCTATTTTAACAAAAAAAAGTATAAAACCAAAACGATTCGAAGTGCAGTGTAAAGCGCCCTCTAACCGCCACAACGAAAAAATGTCCATATTCGGGTTTCGCATCCCAAAAGCATTCGGATACCAATTTTTGAAGTAATACGTCAATAAATGTTTATGAATTAAAACAAATTTCTATCTTCTACCTTTACCACCCTGTATCTCGGAATCGGAGCAATTTTTGACCAAAGTAAGTTACTTCAATTTTGTAAAGACCTTTTAGGGACGCCCTGTATAGTGCCGTCGTCTTCAATCTTTGACATTTGTCAATTTTTGACACAATTTTTTGAAGAGAATTTCTTCAGGTTTCTAATGAGGTATGGTAACAACATTAGAAATGTTGATACTTTTATTCGCGGAAGTAGTGCCCTCTGAACCACTTTGCGGCTGCTATTTGCGCATCAATTTCTAAATCGCTGTGGTGTATCTTTATGTGCATGGTTTATTAGATAGCCATCAGTCTCTCTAGAAATGTTCATTACATCAACATCTTATCCTTGTTAAGCCATAAGATCAATCGTCCCAGAATCAGCTGAGGTGAAGAAACTACTAGGAAGAACCTGGTACTTGCTAAAGAAATTGAAGAAGTGCATAAAGAACTAGAGTTAACCAAAACAAAAGGAATTGACTTGGTACGATTAAACAGAAAAGTGTTAGCAACAATAAGAGTACTTGAGGGTGAAAACGTGTGTTTACATCAAACATTGGAGACGTGTCAAACAAACATAGAAGATAGCGAAAGTTCGACTAAAGGCAGTGTTGATAAGCCCAGTGACAAAAGTCTAGAAAACATCCTGGTCGAAATAGAAACTACAATGTCAACTAGTGATCAAAATCGGTAGCCGATCAACCTAGCGCATGAACGTAGCATAGAAATCGTAAACCGTATACACTGTGTTAGAGGAAAACATTTATTATCGGGGATGAGTTAGTCAGAAACGTTCCTGCTGTTTCAGATTCATGTGTAGGCCGTGATTATGACAGCATTGAAAGGATTGTGAAGCCTGGCATCGAATTTTGTGATCTAGTCATGCCATTGTTCCAGCAGGCAATGCTACTAGGTAAGGATGATCATATCCTAGTAATTTTTAACTCTAAAAATGTCTCAAACCATAGATCTCTGCAGAAAATGAAAATAATGTGATTGCCTCTCAGTAACACCACAAATGTTGTTGTTTTGAGTAGATGTGAGCATCCATTACACTGTGCCATAGACAACTTTATTAGTAAGCAAATCAAGTCATTTATTCACACCAACAGAAATGCATCAATCCAATTTATAGCAGACATAAAGCATAAAAACAGGCCTTAATTCTCTTTATAAAAATTATTTATCAAGTAACGGCAACAAAAATATTGTCCTAAAATCAATTAATACCACTGCGTCTATGTCTGCAAATAATAATGTAAATGTGTCACAAATAATTTTTTTTCGTGAATGAAATCAAAATAAACAATATGATGATGATAAAAACAGCTCCCATCATACATATACATGTACATATAGGCAAACTTATAACCAGCAAAATATAAATTATTTCAACTAGCTTCTGAGCATAGAAGATTGGCAATCTATTTACAATTCATTTGGTGACGTAAGTGATAAATTTGAAGTGTTATCGAATATTTTTAATCATTACGTTGAATTGGCTTTTCCGTAGAAAATAAGGCATTCACATGGAAAACCTAGGAAGACTTGGATCACCAAGGGTCTCGTAGTTTCAGGCCGAAAACTTAAAGAATTATATCATCTAATTGTAGATGCCCAAATATTATAATGACTACAATAACTGTACAGAAAGTTAAGTGAAGCAAAAAAGCTCTACCGAGATCTGATTATCAGTCATAATAACAAATAAAGAACCGTTTGGAAAATCATCAAGCCTGATAGAAATATAGAACGTAAGCTCGAATCAAGTGTGAATAATAATCTGATCATCGACTCTAGTGAAATTGCTGAAAGATTCAACAATCACTTCGCAGAGGTCTCAAAAAACCTTAGAGGAAATAATATGCCCAAGCTTGTACCTTTCAATGTAAACAGTCTGCAGAGCTTTTCTTCCGTCCGGCCACAGAACAAGATATCTCAAGCATAATAACAAATTTGAAAAGATCGGATTCTACCGGAGATCATGCTTACAGCACCAACTTACTGAAGAAATGTTATACGCAGATATCAGAGCTATTAACATATTTGGTTAATCTATCCCTAGAAACCGGAAAATTTACCGAAAAACTGAAAATATCCAGAATTATCCCTATACCCAAATCAGGAAATCCAGAAAACATCAACAACTACAGATCAATATCCCACTCAAGCCCATTTGCAATAATTATAGAAAAATATGTCGTCATTTGCCTGACCGATATCTTTATTAAACACAGCTTTTTCAACACTTACCAATTTGGTTTTCTCAAAAGAATGTCCACAGCTAAAGTCGCTTCTGCTTATCTAAACATGATGTATACAGCTATGGACAAAAATAACGAAACAGTAGGAATATTTGTAGACTCGAGCAAAGCCTTTGATATGGTAGATCACAAGCTTCTTCTACAAAAACTGGAGCTATACGGAGTAAGGGGACTTCCACACGAGGTTTGAGAGCTACCTGAGCGATAGATCTCAGTATGTACAGGTGCGTAACATGCGGCATTGGAGTTCCTCAGGGACCTCGGACCTACTTTATACATAATAAACATACGTAAATGATTTCTACAGCAACAACTTTGTTATGTATGCAGATGATACGTCTCTCTTAGTAGATGCTACCACAGTGCGAATCCTAGCTGCATCCGAGACAACTGAATTTGCACGGATTAATGAGTGGGTTTGCTGATAATGACCTGGCATTCAACAGAGAGAAGTCACTGCTTGTTCGGTTCATATGTACATCGAAACCAGATCACAGCTCACTAATTAAATCTCATCAAGGAACAATTAAGCAATGCCAGACGGTGAAGTTTCTAGGACTTCATCTGTCTTACAATTGTAGTTCGGACCATCACATAGATCACTTTTGTAATAAAATCACTCCGGTGGGGTATTGCGTCAATATGATCAGGTTTATAGTTGATAAACCCCTGCCTACTAATGTACTGCTTTTCATACTTTCAATCAGCTATAACCTATGATATAATAGCTTGGGGGGAATCCTATTTAGCAAATATGGTTTTTATTATTCAAAAGAGGATTATAAGATTAATAGCAGGAGTAAACAGTTGAGTAGTTGTAGAGAGATTTTTTAAGAGATAGGAATTTTAACCTTAACATATATCTGTATTTATGACCTATTGATACATGCCAAATCAAATTTGACAAGTATTCGCAGTCTAACCGATAATCACAGCTATAATACTAGGAATGCTTTAACACTGCAATTCTCTGCTCACAGGCTTGCCGAAACGGAAAATGATCCTAATTATATGGGCATAAAGCTCTACGATAAGTTACCTGAGTTCAAGCAAAAAATTTAAAAAATGTTTCTTAAAAAATTAATTATTCCGTTAATGGATTTTGTCTTTGACACCAATAATTTTTAGATGATGTTTGTTATGTACATGGTTTTATCTTGTTATAAACTACATGTTCAGTGTGTTAAAGTGTGTGTATTATTTATTGTTGGTTCCTTTAGTTTTTTTTTCATATTTGTATTTACATAATATAAAACGTTTATTTGGAATTTGATTGATTGCATACAATTTTTCTTTGTTAGTTTTCGCATTTGACGCATTCTATGTCATTGAAAGATGATAACTTGAATGAAGATTAATTATTATTATTATTATATTCCCTTGAGTGGAGCTACCTTACATAAAACTGCAGCTGCGTATCAAGAAACGCGACTTCTATATTCAATCCAACCAAATGTTTATTACCCTTTGTAGATCGTTCAATAAGAACATCATTCACACAATTACCCGGAAGATAAAGCCGAACATCTTCCGGACCCGACCTCTAGCATACTGATGTGACAGGAAGTATGAATATCTGCGTCAAGCATCTCCCCAAAACAAGAATGACGGCTCTTAGGCACCGACGACGTCGGTGAAACGAGTATACAGACGACAAAAAGAAAAACCGCTTGCGAAGAAAACCTTCACGCCTGGAATTTTAGGTCGGTTGCAAACGCTACGGTTCCTAGATTTTTGAATTCCTGAACCCGCGTATGGCAAGTAGGTGGAACTTCAAAAAGCGTTTGGGTCATTCTCATTTTCAACGAAAAAATATTTTGGGCAGGTGAAATCGTAATTTGTAAACCAATTGGAACAGTAGTTGTATAGTACAAAAATGTTACTCAATTCTTTAAAAACTGTAGATACTGGTATTTAAATATATGTCGAGCCAGAAATAAAGGAAAAAACACACCATGTCTTGTGAGGTTTGTGTGTGTGTGTGTGTACGAAGTGTAGTAAGTTACTTTCTATGCTAAAATTGCCATTCATTAATATTTCACTTTTATTGATATTTTAAATGTCAATGAAGACTTTCTTAGTTATTTTCAAAATGGCGTGTGGCGTTATGTTGAATAATACATACTGTGGAACCTGATTGCTTGGAAACTTATTATTTGACTCTAGCAACACTAGCTTATATTTTTGGTCCAGAAAGACTGTCTTTCTTAAGCATACCACGGCATTACCATGATTACGACATTGAATTGATTATTTATGTTGACTTATACTTGTATCATGTATTGATTGGCTAGTGACTATCATATTGTTATCATACCTACATAGAAAAAAACTATTTTAGTGCATTAAAAGTATTTTTTGCCCTATAAACCTGAGAGTATCTACAAAATTCCAATAAGGAGAAGTTACATTTTCTTACTAGGCAGATCATGATAATGACGCTACTTCAGCGACTTGCTGGGAACGTAATTCCCCCTGCTATTGAATGCTATAATATATGGTATATTCTTGGATATTATTAATAATTTTTGTTTTTCTCGAGTATATGGATGGTCAACCTTATAAGGAAACTTTACAAATGAATATATTGTTGTTGGTTGTATTTTTTATTTCATTGTTCTGACAACTTAAAAATCATATGCTACCTGAGGAATTGGTGTATCTGAGAATGAGAGGGAATCAATGATGCGTTGACATACTCAGTATCTTCTGTCTTCGTCGGACACTATCATGTGGCAGCAGCATCCCTCTCCTAAGCACCGTTCTGTGATCCAGTCATTGCGTCAGCTTCATCTAACAGTGTTGCCGGACCTTCAGGAAATACTCAGATATGCTATAGTTCAAAGTCCAATCAAATTAAGTGTGCTAATATATCATGATAGCAAAAAGTTTCTAAATGTATTCATACACCATTATTATTCTCCTACATTGTATATGTATACCTCTGAGTTAGGTGCCTCAAAATATGAAATTGCTAGGCCAATACTGCCATACTGCTCCACCAAGATATGCAATGTAATGTTATTATCATGCAGCAAAAATGCCAAGTAAGGTATTCCCTCTGCGAATTTGAGCACAGGAATATTATTTGTATAGGATCTCTACCGTTTCTAGGATGAAAGTAATTAACTGAAATTAGGAATAAGCTACTATATCTTGAGGTGCCCCGGCTATGTCTTTGCTGTCTCGGAGTGATCCTATCACTTGTACTCTGTATACCTTAGTCATATGTCAAAGGCGAAGATTAGACCCATTTCTTTCGCGTTAGGGTGTTAGATATGACAGGGCGGCCGTTTGCGTCGTAAAATTCTGATCAGACCCCTGTTACGACAGTTATACGCTCTTGGTATTTTATTGACTGCTTCTCATGTTTTATGATCGTGGCATTTTATATTTGCAGACCTTCGACTTGTACAAAGGGTGAATTTTCTGTACAATATTGGTCGATAACTGTGCTATTACGCACGGTATCTAAGACAGCTAAATAAAAAAATTGTAGCCAACAGTAAGCTCCTAATTTAGAAAATATTTATATCTCTACATGGTGACAAAAATATACATTTTTTTAAATGGAGAGTTCTACATTTTATTTCAGCGTTGAATAAGCTATTTAAAGGAAGCAATTTGATAATTATAACATAATATTATAAGGGTTTTGAATATTAGATGGCAGAAAGGAAACAGATTATATTGTGCATCCCCCTTTAGTGATAGGGGGATTGTCTGCTGGTTGTCAAAGATGTAAGAAAATATTCAGACAGAAATACTCGAGCACGTCCGATATTGATATTGTATTTGCTTCACATGTCACTGATATTAGAGATATTATCATCTGCCGGTTTGTACCGGCTCAACAATTGTTAAAGGTCGCAGGCTGTATTATCTTGGTAACCAAATTATATTCAGCTTCCTCAAATGGTCGCTAGGATGCAAAGGTCTGACTTCAAAATCAAAAATGATGTTTTTTCGAAGACATTCATAATTAAAATATATCTAAAATAGCTTCAGTCTATTGTATTTGTGTTCTTGCCGCCTTTTTTGTTGAGATTATTTTTCTGTTAGTCGATTGTTTGAAGAAGGGGGAAGGGTGCAGGATACAACTTTGTTACTTTAGTTCGATTTTCGTCAGTTATTTGGCGCTCAATGGCAAAACCATCAGTGAGTCAGTTTCATCCAAAGCATTATTTTTCATTCATTTTACTAATACTAAGAACAAGTCAGAACTGCTAACCGTTATCTAAATTTGTTATAGGGTTACCTAATAATTTACTTAAAATGTTCATGTTTAGCTGTATTTGGTAAAGCATTTTCAATGTATTACGCCTTATTAGTAATTTAATGGCCGCGAGAGGGCGTAATTGTAACCCATATGCGGGAAAATTAGTTTTGGCATTTATTTTAGTCGCCCATGTTGAGAATATCTTAGCGTCAATATGTAAAGGAACAACATTTATTGGTTTAGATTTAGAGTATTGTTTTTTTCGAACGAGATTCCTTGAAGTAGAATGAGGACTTAATGTTCTACCTTGCAAGAAAAATGGTACGCTTGGTTACATCGACTATTGAGTCCATTGGAGAAATCCTAAGAGCGGAGACGCGGAGTGTGGAATACAATCTCTACTGCAGCTGCACGCGCTAAACTTTACTGGCGAATTTTTCATGTTTCGACTTGCTGAAATTGGCAGTTCATAATTTCTCTATTCATCATTTAGCGCCCTTAGTAACACAACTTGATTTCCTGTCTAGAAATATATATATATATAGGTGAAAAATTAAAGCTTCCGCCTTTTGTTGGGTACTTCGACAAAATTTAAGCAAAGAGGACTCTTTATACTTTTTTAATTCTCTCTAGCTTTCAATGGACTTTGTCATCATCATCAGGAGCTGCAATTACAATGATAACAGTAGCAACAAAAGTGTAAAATGAATTTAAATTGACTCAACTTACAGTAGTATGTGAGGATGTTGCTCATTGTTGTTTACGTATAGGATGAGGGAAACGACCAGTAACATGGTGAGAGCTGGATAGATGGTACAATGGTCAAAATTATATAAAATATGACAAGAACAAGTTAAAAACAGATTAAAAATTATTTAAAAACATTAGAGCATTACATCGTGAAGCCACTTGATGATTGCACAAAATGGTGGTCATGGAATAATGAGTGAGATGAACCCTTTGACAGAAGGCCGAAGGTTGTCAATGCCTGTGTTGAAAGATGGAACGAATTGTGGGCGTGTGCCAAACGTTGCCAAATCACTTCAGATGATGTGATTTTCAGAATGTTATGTAAGAAATTGTTAAACCGACCAGAGGCAGTTGAATAAACTATATTTTAATTAATGGGAATTTAAATTAACAATTATTAATAAATCGTGAGAAGAGAATTATTAGATTTTGAGTGGAATGAAATTTACTGGTGGAATCGGCCAAAACACAGATTCTATTTATGGTTGTAAAGAGTCGAAATTTGGGGAGATATGTAAGTTCTCCAATTTTTCGCAGTTTAGCAAATATGAGTAAATGACACTCAGTTGTTTAACATCTGTCTTTTTGTTGATACAGTTGTTATTCATGAAAATGTGGGACATTTCCAGGAATAAACGTTTGGAAAGGTGTTTTTCTTTATCAAGAACTTTGATTCTTGTGTAATTCATAGAATGCCCTGTTGTGTTAACATGAGATGCTAGAGCGCATCATTCAGGATGAAGCCTAGCATCACTTTTGTGTGATGTAATCCTTCCTTTAAGAGATCTGGAGGTCTGACCTATGTATATTTGGTTGCAGTTGTTGCAATTGATGGAGTAGACTGTGTTGGTTAAGCCAAGCAGTGGGACTTTGTCTTTCATTTTTGAAAAAATGCAGTTTATAGTGAGGACGGATTTGCAAGCAATTCGAAAGTTCAAAGGACTGCACAATCTGATCAGCTTAGGGGTCAGTTCCTTGATATAGGGCAGGACAGCAAAACCAGGTCTGGAGTCCGGGTTGGTGCTTGTACTATTTGGATTGATGCTATTATTGGGAATTACATCAGTTCCGTTATTATTAGGGGTTGTGCGACTATTACCTGCGTGACCAGAGTTCGGCAAGATATTGGAAGGTGAACTAAATAAGATCTTGTTAATCAGACACTTCGGATAACCATTATTGATGAAAAGTTTTGATAGTTTACGTAAATTTGAGGTGTGGAAAGTATTATCTGAGATGCTGATTACCCTTGTTTTCATCTGTTTTACCAAATTGATTTTAATCCCTAGCTTATGGTATGACCTAAAATTGAGAAACCGACCTGAGGCCATAGGTTTCTGGTACCAATAAACTGTTGTTGTTGGTGCGGATGAGTCTTGTGTCTAGAAAGGGGACAGACAGGTTCTCATCTTCTTTTTCAATGGTAAATTGGATGTAGGGGTCATAGTCATAGAGTCCTCTTTGCTTAAATTTTGTCGAAGTACCCAACAAAAGGCGGAAGCTTTAATTTTTCACCTAACTGGTCTAGACGACAATGACCACGTCTCAAGTTATATATATATATATATATATATATATATATATATATATATATATAGGTACTGCAAGGTACCTTGGTCATTCCTCTACCTAGTGCAGCATTTTCGGTGAAATATGTTACTTGGAATACCTAACAAGTTTCTAATAATAAAATATTATACAGTATGTACTACAACAGCGGTATTCCTGAATTTATTTCCTAGAAATTTGAAAAAGCTTTCGCGCCAGATAAAATATCAAGGTGATGTCTTTTTTGCTTGTTTGTGACCATTCTACCCTTACGTCAAACACATTAATTAATTAATCAATGCTATGGTTGTGTTGAATGATTTTTGTTCTGTGAATAGAAAATGATAATACAAATTTATGCATGCAATCATTTTTTCAAAAACTCTTATACCTGAAACTTAATGAAATGAAATGGCGCTTGGTCAAGTATTGCTTTCA